CATGCATCCACACACGCATCCCCACTACGCATGGATCCACACACGCATCCACACATGCATCCACACACGTATCCACACACGCATCCACACACGCATCCCCCCCACTACGCATGGATCCACACGCGCATCCCCACACGCATCCCCACACGCATCCCCACACGCATCCCCACTACGCATGGATCCCCACACGCATCCCCACACGCATCCCCACACGCATCCCCACTACTACGCATGGATCCACACACGCATCCACACACGCATCCCCACTACGCATGGATCCACACACGCATCCACACATGCATCCCCACTACGCATGGATCCACACACGCATCCACACACGCATCCCCACTACGCATGGATCCACACACGCATCCACACACGCATCCCCACTACGCATGGATCCACACACGCATCCACACATGCATCCACACACGTATCCACACACGCATCCACACACGCATCCCCACTACGCATGGATCCCCACACGCATCCCCACACACGCATCCACACACGCATCCCCACACGCATCCCCACACGCATCCACACACGCATCCCCACTACGCATGGATCCCCACACGCATCCCCACTACGCATGGATCCCCACACGCATCCACACACGCATCCCCACTACGCATGGATCCCCACACGCATCCCCACTACGCATGGATCCCCACACGCATCCACACACGCATCCCCACTACGCATGGATCCCCACACGCATCCCCACTACGCATGGATCCCCACACGCATCCACACACGCATGGATCCACACTGCGCACAAACCACGCTTTGCAGGCATCCTCTTCCCAGATGCCGGGAGGGGGAGGGGAGGGTCCATCTTCTCCTTAGAAAAAGATAAGAATTGTCATTTGTGGAAATGCAGCCGACGCAGTTCGAGGGGCGGACTGGAACTCATGGGGCCCCCAGGCAATAGGGGATCATGGGGCCCCTGTGTCCTCGCCCACACCTAAAAAAGCCAATGAAAGGTACCAAGAGCATCTCATGGGGCCCCCTACTGACCCCCGGGCCCTCGGGCAGTGCTCGAGTGGTCGGTCCGCCCCTCTGTGCAGCGTATCCATCCTGCGACTCTGAACCCTCTACCAACCAATCAGGAGGGACTGAGGGGAAGCTGCACTAGGCAGCACTGCAAGGGTTCGGTGTATGTCCGTGTTCCCGGAACGTTCCCTCCATCCATCCATCCATCCCTCCATCCATCCCTCCATCCATCCATCCATCCATCCATCCCTCCATCCATCCATCCATCCCTCCATCCATCCATCCCTCCATCCATCCATCCATCCATCCGACTGGGCCAGCACTGCTGCCTTTCTGAGGCGCTCTCAGCCGTGGTTGCATGCTTCCTCCTCCAGGGGTGACAACACAGAGCGTCTGGCAGAAGAGAACAGAGATGGAGACTGGGGGGGGAGGGGGGGGGGGGACTACACCTTACACCATATATATATATATACATTTGTGATGATAAAAGTGAGTAAAGCTGCAAATCCTTCTAATCCTTTTATTTCCATCCACACAAATGCATTGGGAACACGACACATTCTATTCCAAATCACAACATGAAGAAAAATACATCAAATTTGTGTTGTTCCTCTAAAAAAAATGGAAGAAAAGTGAATATTAGACGGTTCAAAAAAATCTCAGTGTTTGTATTCTTCTTTACAAACTCCAACATTCACTATATAAACTGAGAAATGTTTGAAGATTTTGCTTTCCTTTGAATGACTTCATGAATATTTGGTTGTAGTCGCACTGTTTCTGAGAACTGCTGTACATCTGTGTTGCATGGAGTCCCCCAACTTCTGGCCCCTGTGATCAGGTATTCCAGCCCAGGATGATTGGACCACATTCCACAGTTCTTCTCGATTTCTTGGTTTGGCCTCAGAAACGGCATTTTTGATGTCACCCCACAAGTTTTCTATTGGATGAAGATCCGGGGATTGGGCTGGCCACTCCATCACGTCCATCTTGTTGGTCTGGAACCAAGATGTTGCACATTTACTGGTGTGTTTGGGGTCGTTGTCTTGTTGGAACACCCATTTCAAGGGCATTTCCTCTTCAGCATAAGGCAGCATGACCTCTTCAAGTATTCTGATGTATTCAGACTGATCCATGATCCCTGGTATGCGATAAATAGGCCCAACACCGTAGTATGAGGAACATCCCCATATCATGATGCTTGCACCACCATGCTTCACGGTCTTCACAGTGTACTGTGGCTTGAATTCAGTGTTTGGGGGTCGTCTGACAAACTGTCTCCGCCCACTAGACCCAAAAAGAACAATCTTACTTCCATCAGTCCACAAAATGTTGCGTCATATCTCTTTAGGCCAGTCAATGTGCTCTTTGGCAGATTGTAACCTCTTCAGCACACGTCTTTTTCCCAACAGTGGGACTTTGCGGGGACTTCTTGCAGATAGCTTGGCTTCACATCGGCATCTTCTAATTGTAACAGTCCTCACAGGGAACGTCACACCTTCTTTCATCTTCCTGGAGCTGATTGTTGGCTGAGTCCTCACAGGGAACGTCACACCTTCTTTCATCTTCCTGGAGCTGATTGTTGGCTGAGTCCGCCCCATTTTGGCTATTCTTCTATCCATTCCAATGGTAGTTTTTCGCTTTCTTCCGCATCTTTCAGGTTTTGGTTGCCATTTTAAAGCATTTGCCATCATTTTAGCTGAGCAGCCGATCATTTTCTGCACTTCTTTATATGTTTTCCCCTCCAATCAACTTTTTAATCAAGGTGCGCTGTTCTTCTGAACAATGTCTGGAACGACCTATTTTCCTCAGAATTTCAGAGAGAAATGCACTGTAACCAGCATGTCCAACATTTGCTGCCTTCCTTCCTTAAATAAGGGCAATAATTGCCACCTGTTTATCAGAGAATGAATGACGTCACTAATAGAACTCCACCCGGCTATTATTGTGAACACGCCCCTTTCAATGAGTGATTCAATGACACAGAATCAGCAGCATGCATGTCATGACTGTTGGGTCTGTTGGATTTCTATGACTCTACTACACCTGCTAGGAAATTATCTGCCATGTAGAAATATCATTTCCACCAAAAACAGTGATTGATCCGGTTAGTGATGTCTGACGGCTAGTATTTTCAACACAACTGTATATATATACACACTATATTGCCCCAAGTATTGGGCCCCGGCCTTTCCACACACATGACCTTTAATGGCCCCCCAGTCTCAGTCCGTAGGTTCAATATTGAGTTGGCCCCGCCCTTCCCACACACATGACCTTTAATGGCCCCCCAGTCTTAGTCCGTAGGGTTCAATATTGAGTTGGCCCCGCCCTTGCCACACACATGACCTTTAATGGCCCCCAGTCTTAGTCCGTAGGGTTCAATATTGAGTTGGCCCCGCCCTTTCCACACACATGACCTTTAATGGCCCCCCAGTCTTAGTCCGTAGGGTTCAATATTGAGTTGGCCCCGCCCTTTCCACACACATGACCTTTAATGGTCCCCCAGTCTTAGTCCGTAGGGTTTAATATTGAGTTGGCCCCGCCCTTCGCACACACATGACCATTAATGGCCTCCCAGTCTTAGTCCGTAGGGTTCAATATTGAGTTGGCCCCGCCCTTTCCACACACATGACCTTTAATGGCCTCCCAGTCTTAGTCCGTAGGGTTCAATATTGAGTTGGCCCCGCCCTTTCCACACACATGACCTTTAATGGCCCCCCAGTCTTAGTCCGTAGGGTTCAATATTGAGTTGGCCCCGCCCTCTCCACACACATGACCTTTAATGGCCCCCCAGTCTTAGTCCGTAGGGTTCAATATTGAGTTGGCCCCGCCCTTTCCACACACATGACCTTTAATGGCCCCCCAGTCTTAGTCCGTAGGGTTCAATATTGAGTTGGCCCCGCCCTTTGCAGCTATAACAGCTTCAACTCTTCTGGGAAGGCCGTCCACAAGGTTTAGGAGGGTGTCTATGGGAAGGTTGGACCATTCTTCCAGAAGCACATTTGTCAGGTCAGGCACTGGTGTCGGGGGAGGAGGCCTGGCTCGCAGTCTCCGCTCTAATTCATCCCAAAGGTGTTCTATGGGGTTGAGGTCAGGACTCTGTACAGGACAGTCAAGTTCCTCCACCCCAAACTGGCTCCTCCATGTCTTTATGGACCTTGCTTTGTGCACTGGTGGGCAGTCATGTTGGAACAGGAAGAGGCCATCCCCAAACTCCTCCCACAATGTTGGGATCATGAAATTGTCCAAAATGTCGTCTTAAGAGTTCCATTCACTGGAACTAGGGGGCCAAGTCCAACCCCTGAAAGACACCCCCACACCATAATCCCCCCTCCACCAAACTTTACACTTGGCACAATGCAGTCAGGCAAGTACCGTTCTCCTGGCCACCGCCAAACCCAGACGCGTCCATCGGATTGCCAGACAGAACCGTGATTGGTCCCTCCAGAGAACACGTCTCCTCTGCTCTAGAGTCCAGTGGCGGCGTGCTTTACACCACGGCATCCGACGCTTTGCATTGCACTTGGTGATGGAAGGCTTGGATGCAGCTGCTCGGCCATGGAAACCCATTCCATGAAGCTCTCTACACACTGTTGTTGGGCTCATCTGAAGGCCACACCAAGTTTGGAGGTCTTTAGCTATTGACTCTGCAGACAGTTGGTGACTTCTGCGCACTGTGCGCTTCAGCATGCGCTGACCCCGCCCTGTCATGTGACGTGGCCTACCACTTGGTGGCTGAGTGGCTGTTGTTCCCAGTGGCTTCCACTTTGTTATAATCCCACTAACAGTTGAGCGTGGAATATTTAGTAGCCAGGAAATGTCACGGATGGACTTATTGCCCAGGTGACCACCTATCACGGGACCACGCTTGGAGTCACTGAGCTCCTGAGAGCGACCCATTCTTTCACCAATGTTTGTAGAAGCCGTCTGCATGCCTAGGGGCTGATTGTATACACCTGTGTCCATGGAGGGGATTGGAACACCTGAATCACAAGATATGGAGGGGATTGGAACACCTGAATCACATGATATGGAGGGGATTGGAACACCTGAATCACATGATTGGGAGGGGATTGGAGCAGCTGAAGCACATGACATGGAGGGGATTGGAACACCTGAATCACATGATTGGGAGGGGATTGGAACACCTGAATCACATGATATGAAGGGGATTGGAACACCTGAATCACATGATTGGGAGGGGATTGGAACACCTGAATCACATGATATGAAGGGGATTGGAACACCTGAATCACATGACATGGAGGGGATTGGAACACCTGAATCACATGATTGGGAGGGGATTGGAACACCTGAATCACATGATATGAAGGGGATTGGAACACCTGAATCACATGATTGGGAGGGGATTGGAACACCTGAATCACATGATTGGGAGGGGATTGGAAAACCTGAATCACATGATACGGAGGGGATTGAAGCACCTGAATCACATGATATGGAGGGGATTGGAGCACCTGAATCACATGATATGGAGGGGATTGGAACACCTGAATCACATGATATGGAGGGGATTGGAACACCTGAATCACATGGTTGGGATGGGATTGGAACACCTGAATCACATGATATGGAGGAGATTGGAGCACCTGAATCACATGATTGGGAGGGGATTGGAACACCTGAATCACATGATATGGAGGGGATATGAACACCTGAATCACATGATTGGGAGGGGATTGGAACACCTGAATCACATGATATGCAGGGGATTGGAACACCGGAATCACATGGTTGGGGGGGGGGGGACAATACTTGGGGCAATATATGTATATAGATATATACACAGAGTGCTCAGCATACATGATTGGGGGGGGGACAATACTTGGGGCTCAGCATACATGGTGACACCCCTTTAGAAAAGTGAGATTGGAATCAATATCTCAGTGAACAGAACGATCTCCACCATGGGGACAGATCGGATTTTGATCGAACATTTGTTCAGCTCATTACATGACAGGAAGGAACTTCGATGACAAAATCTTCAGTTTCGCTCCAATGAGTTGATGAATGAATCCCCCCCCCCCCCCCCCACAACAAGAACTCCTCCATGGAGTATTCTGTAGGACCTCCATGATTGGTGAGGACGAGTCTTCTAGGCATGGAAGGAACAAGTTGGTGACATATTGCGACATCGATCTTTTTCCATTCTTCCAGAACGACCTGTCAGAGCCTGGATGCTGATGGAGAGCGATGGTCAGCTTGTCTCCTCAGAACCCCCCATAGGTGTTGGATTGGGTTCAGATCAGGAGACAGACTTGGCCCCGGAATCCCTTCCCCCCGGGTTCTTCTTCAGAAATCCAGCAGTGGCCTTAGATGTGTATTCTGGATCGTTGTCATGTTGGAGAAGTGCACGACGATCGAGGGCACGGAGTGATGGGAGCATCTTCTCTTCCAATATAGAGCAGTACATCTGTGAATTCATGACACCATCAATGAAATACAGCTCCTGACACCAGCAGCACTCATGCAGCCCACAGGAGGACATTGCCACCACCATGTTTCACAGTAGGCACCGTCCATTTGTCTTTGTACTCCTCACCTTTGTGACACCATACAGTTGTGAAGTCATCAGTTCCATAAACATTTATCTTGGTGTCATCACTCCAGAGTACAGAGTCCCAGTAGTCGTCTTCTTTTTCAGGATGGGCCCTGGCAGATTCTAGGCGGGCTTTAGGAGAGGCTTCCTTCGTGGATGACACCCATGCATGCCATTCCTCTGCAGTGTCTGCCGTATGGTGTCATGTGAACCATCCCCCCAGTTTGGCTTTCTACTACTTTAGCTAACAGCAGTGACCTTACATGGCGATTGTCTTCAACCCTTCTCATCAGAAGACGTTCTTGTTGAGGTGTTACCTTCCATGGACGGCCTGGACGTCTCTGTGAGATGGTTGCAATTCTATCTTTGTTACATTTTTGTATCCTTGTTGCTCCAGTATTCTGACTGATAAGTGAAGCTTTGCTGATTTTCTTGTAGCCGTCACCTTTCTGGTGTCAAGAAATTATTTCCTTTCTCAGGCCTTGTGACATTTCTCTTCCATGTGGTACAGTCGCTGACAGCATGAAATGGGCGGGGTTTTCTTAGGTAACACCCTTTTATATTCACCTGTCTGCCAGACACCTGTATAATGAATAATTAAACTCACCTGGAGATGAACTCTCGATCATTAGGATTCTGTTGTCTACAATGTAGCTTTGCTCCTAAGACTTTCATTGGGGTGTGTTCATTTTTGCAACATGGTCTGGGGTGAATTTGTGAGGAAAAATACTTTTTGGTGTGCAAATGACCAAATCTTGTGCGCAATGAAAGGCCGGCATTTGTGGGAGGAGCTTTCTGCCAAGTCTGTTGGGGTGGGCTCATGTATGCTGAACACGGTATATATATATATGCCCCCCTCTATACTGTGTGTATATATATATATAGAGAGAGCGAGCGATGATATAGGTGAAGTGCACAACGGTGACCAATCACAGCGCACGGCAGTCAGGCCCTCCCAGAGGCCATATATAGAAAAAAAATGAAAGAAGATTTCTGCACAGAAAAGAACTTTTAATGTAGAAAAATCACCATCCAAACAAGGGATCAAAAATGGAGAAATCCGTACATAATGGGGTTCAATGTTTGTCCCCAAAGTTACAATGTACAGTCTGATCACTGGGGGAGGAGACTGAGGAAATGACTCCTCCCCCTCCTACAAAGTTACAATGTACAGTCTAATCACGGGGGAGGAGAGACTGAGGAAATGACTCCTCCTCTTTCTACAAAGTTACAATGTACAGTCTGATCACTGGGGGAGGGGAGACTGAGGAAAGGCTTCCTCCTGCCTGCAGCAGACTGATGACATCATCTCAGCCTAGGCAAAGTCACTGGACTGGTTGTTGGGGATGGTGGAGATGATTGACGAATGATCCAGTTGCTGTATACAGGTGTATATATACTTTCGGAGATCCCGCTGTCAGTGACACTGACTCCGCCCATTGACACCCCACCAGCGGCGCTCAGAATCGTCTCTCCTGCGTCCTCGGCACACATTGGACCCCTTGCAGCGCGGGTTTCCTGGTGCCGCATGGAAATGTCTCATTGATTTCCCGCTCGGCGTATCAGCCGGATCCTCTGAGCGTTCCGATCCGTGTCGCCTCCATTCTATAGATGGCTATTTGGGGGGGAAAATTCTCAATCCTACACCCCCCCCTAATCCCCCCCCCAATCCCCCCCTCATACCATTATTAAAGGTGCTGTGTACCCCCCCGACGCGGTGTACCCCCCTCCGATGCTGTGTACCCCCTGATGCGGTGTACCCCCCCAAATCCCCCACCCTCATACCATTATTAAAGGTGCTGTGTACCCCCCCTCCCGACGCGGTGTACCTCCCCCGATGCAGTGTACCCCCCCGACGCTGTGTACCCCCCGACGCATTGTACCCCCCCAATCCCCCACCCTCATACCATTGTTAAAGGTGCTGTGTTACCCTCCTGATGCGGTATGCCCCCTCCAATGCAGTGTACCCCCCCCGACGCTGTGTACACCCCCGACGCGGTGTGCCCCCCAATGCAGTGTACCCCCCCGACGCTGTGTACACCCCCCGACGCGGTGTGCCCCCCAATGCAGTGTACCCCCCCAACGCGGTGTACCCACCCGACGCAGTGTACCCCCCGATGCGGTGTACCCCCGCCAGTCCCCCACCCTCATACCATTATTAAAGATGCTGTGTACCCCCCCAACGCAGTGTAACCCCCCAACGCTGTGTACCCCCCAACGCTGTGTACCCCCCCCGACGCGGTGTACCCCCCGACGCGGTGTACCCCCCGACGCACTGTACCCCCCAACGCGGTGTACCCCCTGACGCTGTGTACCCCCCGACGCAGTGTAACCCCCAACACTGTGTACCCCCCCGACGCTGTGTACCCCCCCGACGCAGTGTACCCCCCAACGCTGTGTACCCACCGACGCTGTGTACCCACCGACGCTGTGTACCCCCCCAGACACGGTGTACCCCCCCAGACACGGTGTACCCCCCCGACGCTGTGTACCCCCCCAGACACGGTGTACCCCCCCGACGCAGTGTACCCCCAAACGCGGTGTACCCCCCGACGCTGTGTACCCACCGACGCTGTGTACCCCCCAATGCGGTGTACCCCCTGATGCTGTGTACCCCCCCGACGCGGTGTACCCCCCGACGCTATATACCCACCAACGCTGTGTACCCCCCAGACACGGTGTACCCCTCCCCGAAGCTGTGTACCCCCCCAATGTAGTGTACCCCCCCAACGCTGTGTACCCCCAACGTGGTGTACCCCCCCGACGCTGTGTACCCCCCGACGCTGTGTACCCCCCCCCCGACGCAGTGTATGACTCTCCATGTCCCTGGAATGGCGGATTGTACCGTTTTATCACCCAATGAAAAGTCGATATCCGCCGTTTGATTATTCTGGAGTCGGAGAATCGCGGGCGTCTCGGAAGTCGATCGTCCTAAGTGCCCGGATAGAAGGTCGCTGTAATGACTGCGCGGCGGCGGCCTATCAGCACATGGCGGCGGGATTAATCACAGGAGGACGCAGAGCAGATTCTTGTTGTGTGGGGGAGGGGAGCTGTCCGCGGTGCTGAATCGGAGCTGGGAGGATGATGGAGGAGTCCGGACTGGGGATGTGGAGCCGTCATTTCCATTCCCCGCTGGAAGAATGCGATTATTTCCACGCGAAGGAAATCTGGTTTTGTGAACAGAAAACAGACATCGCCCCGTCATGTGACTTCAATCATCGATCCGCTTCTGCCGCCAGTGCAGGACGACACCGACACCATACTGGTCACGTCTTCTTCCGTCCGATCGGTGACAACGTGTGTCCAATATCATTCAAATCATGTGATTGGTTGTCACAGTGGTCACATGTTCGGGAGCCACTCCCCCCCCCCCCGTACAGGCCACGAGCTGTCCATGAGAGCTCTGAGCACCGGAACCTCAGCCACCTATAGACGTACATATGTGGCGTGTGGGCGTTAGAGCCCGCCCTCCTTGCCATCACACATGTGCATTGCGTGTGCAGAAAGAGGCTACAGGGACCATAAACTCCAACAAAAAGAAGAATTTTGTCTGAGAACGTGTTCCTGGTGGAAAAAAGTCCCTTCTATCACTCTCAGTCCCCTGACTATGGGACTATGAGACCATGGGGACTATGAGACCATGGGGACTATGAGACCATGGGGACTATGAGACCATGGGGACTATGAGACCATGGGGACTATGGGACTAGGAGACTATGGAGACTATGAGACTATGCGGAATATGATACTATGGGGACTATCAGACCATGGGGACTATGAGACTAGGAGACTATGGAGACTATGAGACCATGGGGACTATGAGACCATGGGGACTATGGGACTAGGAGACTATGGAGACTATGAGACCATGGGGACTATGCGGAATATGATACTATGGGGACTATCAGACCATGGGGACTATGAGAGTATGGGGACTATGAGATCATGGAGACTATGGGACTATGAGACTATGGGAGTATGGGGACTATGAGATCATGGAGACTATGAGAGTATGGGGACTATGAGATCATGGAGACTATGGGACTATGAGACTATGGGAGTATGGGGACTATGAGATCATGGAGACTATGGGACTATGAGACTATGTGAGTATAGGGACTATGAGATCATGGAGACTATGAGACTATGGGAACTATGAGATCATGGAGACTATGGGACTATGAGACTATGGGAGTATGGGGACTATGAGATCAT